GTACACCTTCCCAACCAGGCTGCTGAAGTCGTAGCCCGAGTCCTTGTGGCGAGCGCCCACGGCCCGGAGCCGCGGCTCCGACTCGGCCGCCCTGGCGTGCTCCGAGAAGTTGGTGTCGATGAGGGAGGTGAGGTCGGGCTGGTCGCAGAACAGGGGGGGCTGGGGGGGCCCCAGCAGCCGTTTGAGCTGGTGGCTGCTCTCAAAGGAGTCCTCCAGCCCGTTCTTCCCATCGGGGCTGGGATCCCAGCCCTCCTGGTAGTCGAAGATGCCGCTGCTGTCCCTGCGCAGCCTGCGAGGGGGGACAGAGCTCAGCCCCTCCGCTGGCCAGCGCTCCCCGGCAGCTCGGGGCTGTGGGAGGGCAGGGCCCTACCTGGGCTTGGGGATGACCGTGAGGCAGTCGCCCGTCTGCGCGTCCCACACGCGGATCTGCCCCACCAGGCAGCAGCTCACCAGCAGCATCCCGTCACTGGCCAGGCACTCGATGTCCTGCGAGGAAGGAAGGACAAGCACAGCTCAGGGTGGCACCCCCGAGGCCTCTGGATCCTGACCTGCTGTGGCTGAAGAACTGCAGAGATGATGGATTTGACAGCAAAGCTGGTTCAGGAGCTGAGGGATGGTGAGGATATGTTCCTGCAAGTGTCTGAGGCCAGGCTGGAGCAGGAGCAGCCTGGCACAGGGGGAGCTGTCCCTGCCCGTGGCAGGGGTGGCTCTGGCTCCCTTCCAACCCAAACCATTCTGGGATTCCAGAATCTCTGCCCAGAGACCTCAGTGTGCACTGGACTGCTGCAAATCCAACAGACTCCTCTGTTTTGCCTTGCCTAGAAAGTTCCATCCCAGCTGGAAGGCAGGATCAGGAGCAGAGATGAAGCTTTTCTGGGAGACACAGTGCAGCATTCCAAACCCATCTGTCTGGGTGCCCAAGAGCTTTGTTTCATCTCAGAACAGGAAGAATCCCAGACTCATCCCGCTTGGAAAAATCCTCCCGGAGTGAGTCACACCCGTGACTGATCCCCACCTTGTCACCCAGCCCAGAGCAGCGAGTGCCACACCCAGCTGTCCCTTGGAGCTGTCCCAGCAGAGCAGGGAATGGAAGGCAGAGGTGGTGAGTGTGTGATCCTGGCACAGAGTCCCGGGAGGAGACGAGAACGTGCCGCAGGAATTCCGCGCCCCGCTGTCCTTTACGTATTTATTTCTGAGTTACACCTACCATGAGGTGTCCCCTGAGCACCAGGGGCACGATCTCGGTCTCGGGGGGCGAGTAGCCGTAATCGTCACAGGGCAGGTCCCCCCTGCGGCGCCGGCCCGGCCCGCTCTGCCCGTAGTTCTTGGGGCACAGCACCCGGTACAGGCAGAACAGCAGCAGCACCAGCAGCATGCCCGACGCCAGGCCCAGAGCAGCCACCCTGGGGCAGACACACACAGACACAAAAAGGTTAACACAATCAATTCCAATTCCTAGCCCACGGATAGATTTGGGAAATCCTGGATCGGGATTATTCGTGTGTTGGTCAGAATTTCTGAGCTGAGAAAGCTTTGCAACAAATTACAGAGATTTGTTGGAAATGAAGGGGTGTTTTAATGGGAAAATGACAATTTCAATGAGATTTTGAGGCTTTTCAGTAAGGAAAGTAACGAGCAGCTAAGATTTTAAGCAAACACCAGCTGGGGACTGGGATAACACTGTGTTCAGCACTTGCAGATTCAGGCAGGGGTTGTGAGCTGTCCTCTCCAGAGGGAGTTTGATCTAACACCCAATAAATCATTATCAAATGGTATCGAGGTGGTGGCTGCCCCTGGATCCCTGGAAGTGTCCGAGCCCAGGCTGGACGGGGCTTGGAGCAAGCTGGGATAGTGCAGGGTGTCCCTGCCCACGGCACAGGGTGGGACTGGGTTTGTTTTAAGGTCCTGTCCAACCCAAGCCACTCTGGGGTTCTATCAAATCACATTTAAAGCCCCAAATTGACCTTCTGTCCTCGTCACCCAGTGCTCAGCCCCGTGCTGCCCTCGGGGCCTCCGTGCACAGCCCACTCCTGCCCTCAGCTGATGGAAAAGTGCCGGGAGGGATCGGTTTCATTTTGCAGCGGAGCATCCCGAGCTGGGCACCGCAGCTTCGGGAGCTCCTTGTTCTCCCCACGGAAGGAGCAGCCCAGAGCAGCCCCCGGGGGTGGAGGCAGAAGGTTTTACTTGTACAGGGTGAGGTCCTGGTGGCCGCGGGGCTCCGGCTGCGCTGCCGTGTCCGGCCTGCCCGCCAGGAAGGGCTGGTAGCGCGACGCCTCCTGCGGGTGCCGCATCTCCAGGGCCTCCTGAGGGTTCAGGTACAGCGTGACGGGGATGGCGGGCAGGATGCTGATGTACCTGAGCAGGGACAGCGGGAATGGCTTAGGGTGACACCAGGGGACGGGCACAGGTGGCTGGGCAGGTCTCAGGGGGCTTTCTAACTTCAGGTGCTCTCAACTAAAGATCTCCTCAGAAATACTCTCCTCTAAAGTCACTGCCCAGGTTTGAACCCTTCAAAGAGCCAAGAGTGGGATGAATTCCCGATGAGATCAAGTGGATGCCATGAATTTAAGTAAGGATCTCGTTTCCTGTGTGCTGCAGGCTGGGGGGTCTCACCAAGAAGCTTCTTCAGCTCAGATGGCTCTTCCTCACCTGTACTATTTCCATCACTTACAGATGATTGTATCAGACAATTCTGGAATTCCTGAGGTTGGAAAAGCCCTCTGACACCATCGAGTCTGACTGATCCTCCCAGCACTGCCAAGGCCACCACTGACCCTGTCCCCAAGTGCCACATCCGCAGGGCTTTAAAATCCCTGCAGCACTGGGGACTGCACCCCTGCCCTGAGCAGCTGGGCCAGGGCCAGACACCCCTTTTGGGGGAGGAATCTTCCCAATATCCAACCTGAACCTCCCCTGGCACAACGTGAGGCTGTTCCCTCTTCTGTCCCTGTCCCTGGGAGCAGAGCCCAACTCTTCCCCCTCCTGTCAGGGACAGAGCCCCCCTCTTGTAAAGGTCCCCCCTGAGCCTCCTTTTCTTGTTTGGCAAAATTTACAACTTCAGTGCCAGGGTGAAGGAAGACACAAGACACCAAGCACGTGAAACACGCAGGAGCAGAGAGAGGAACAGCCCTGGAGGGTTTGTGAGCTCTGGCCACCCCCGGGGACCTGCTCAAACACACCTGCAGTGAGCCCCACGGAACGGGGCAATGTGAGTGAGGAGCACGAGGGACGGGAGGAAGGCAAACCCACGGGGTCATGCCCAGAGCCCAGTGCCTGTGGCACTCCATGCCAGCCCACTTGCCTCTTGGCCAGGGTGATGTTGTAGTAGCTGAAGAGGGCTGGCCAGTGCCTGAAGGAAAGCTTCCTCCAGATCTCCTCATCCTCTGCTCCCCAGGTCACCTCTGCTTCCGTTCCCAGCTCCAGCTGCCCGTTCCCCCTGCCCTCGGCTCCCTGGGCCCAGGAGTGCTGGTTGGGCTCCAGCCCCGGCTGCTGCTCCCGCTGCTGCGTGCGGTTCTCCGGCAGCTGCATCGGCTCCGACGGGAACACCGACAGGTCCACCTTGGGGTCCCCGGCAGGCAGGACCCCCCCAGGAACGGGCATGGGAGGCAGGCCCGCGTCCCCCAGGGGACTCTGCTCGGTGACCTGGGACGTGAGGTAGGTGCGGAGCCCAGCAGGATCGGTGTAGACCAGGATTCCGATCCAGATCACTGTCCCGGCCTGTGCAGGATGAGACACAGCTCCCTTCAGTGCCCCCAGCACCCCAGCCACGGGTACCCCGCGTTTCCTGCTCCCAGCACTGCTCCCTGGGAAGGCTTGCAGCTCTGCCCAGCACACACACAACCTGGACACCACGTTTCCATGACCCACGTGGTGCTCAGAACCAGCTTCTCTCCCCAAACCCCCAGCAGGAAGGAGACAGCTGGGACCAGCATGTCTGGCACCCCCAAACAGGGCTGGAATGGCTCAATTTGGGTTTTTGGGTCCGCACTTGTGCAGGACCCACTGCTCTGAAACCATCTGGGGACTGAATTTAGACTGCCAGTGTTGGCTGACTGGGCTGGGAACACAGAGAACCCTGTAATTCCATTAGAGACATCCAAAGCAGAGACTGGGGACAAGCAGGACCACAAGTGCTGTGGCTGCAGCAGCTGCAAAGAGTGAAACCTTGTGCAAAATATCACCCAAATGCCCTCAGTCCACATCTGCAGGAACAAACTGTGACTTCTGCTTGTAAAATCATCTCGAGACTCAGCCAGCCTTGAAATCTGCTTCTGGACCCCATGGGGCAGCACCAGACTCGTGTGGGAACAAGGACGTGGAGGTGAGTTGGGCCTGGCTGGGGTGTGTCCCTGTCAGGGGTGTGTCCCCAGCTCAGGTGTGTCCCTGGCAGGGGTGTGTCCCTGTCAGGGGTGTGTCCCCAGCTCAGGTGTGTCCCTGTCAGGGGTACCAGCCCAGCTCAGGTGTGTCCCCAGCTCAGGTGTGTCCCTGTCAGGGGTGTGTCCCTGTCAGGGGTGTGTCCCCAGCTCAGGTGTGTCCCTGGCAGGTACCAGCCCAGCTCAGGTGTGTCCCCAGCTCAGGTGTGTCCCTGTCAGGGGTGTGTCCCTGTCAGGGGTGTGTCCCCAGCTCAGGTGTGTCTCTGTCAGGGTACCAGCCCAGCTCAGGTGTGTCCCCAGCTCAGGTGTGTCCCTGTCAGGGGTGTGTCCCCAGCTCAGGTGTGTCCCTGGCAGGTACCAGCCCAGCTCAGGTGTGTCCCCAGCTCAGGTGTGTCTCTGTCAGGGGTGTGTCCCCAGCCCAGGTGTGTCCCTGGCAGGTACCAGCCCAGCTCAGGTGTGTCCCCAGCCCAGGTGTGTCCCTGGCAGGTACCAGCCCAGCTGCAGAGCCATCCCCACGTACCATGATGAGGCGCTGGGCCAGGCGTGTGCGAGCGAAGAAGTAGATGACGCGCAGGCGCTTGGGCAGGCGCAGGTTGCGCAGCGAGGACGGCTGCAGGGTGATGGTGTGTGGTGTGTGTGGGGTGTGTGGGGTGTGCTGGCTGTGCAGGGTGTGCTGGCTGTGCAGGGTGTGCTGGCTGTGAGGGCTGTGCTGCACTGCTGGGGTGTGCAGGGTGTGCGGCCGTGCGCGGCACGCAGCCTTGGCCGGCGCCAGGCACGACTCCGGGGGCAGCCGCTTGTTCAGGTCGGCCAGCTGGAACACACAAAAGGAAAGGTGAGGGGTCAGGGGCTGAGCCATCCCTCCTGATCCTCCCCCGGGCTCTCGGTGCTGCCCGTGGCTCCTCCCAGCCCATTCACCCCAAATCAGCAGTTACACACTCAGGGAATCACCCAACGCTTGGGATGGAGGGGATCTCAAAGCACACCCAGTGCCACCCCAGCCATGGCAGGGACACTTCCCACCATCCCAGGGTGACCCAGGGCCCATCCAGCCCAGCCTTGGGCACTGCCAGGGATCCAGGGGCAGCCCCAGCTGCTCTGGGCACCTGTGCCAGGGCCTCAGACCCTCCCAGAGAAGTTATCTTAATATCCAATGTAAACCTTCTCTGTCAGTTTGAAGACATTCCCCCTTAACCTGTCCAAAGTTTCTCTCCACCTTTCTTGTGGGCTCCCTTCAGGTCCTGGAAGGCCACAAGTGGTGTCTAAGCTCTCCTTCTCCAGGCTGTATCACCCCAATTCTCTCAGCCTCTCCTCACAGCAGAGCTGCTCCTCTAATCAACCTGATGCCTCCTCTGGATTTGCTCCCACAGCTCCATGTCCTCCCTAAGTGTGTCTTTTCCCTCAAAAGTTCTGTTCCCAGTCCCTGTGTGTGTAACCAAGTACAGAACCAGAACGTTTAACAGCTCAGGATGAGAGGAAACAGCCTCAAGTTGTTCAGGTTAAGTATCAGGAGGAATTCCTGCCTGGAATGGGCTGTCCAGCCCTGGCTCAGCTGCCCAGGACAGGGATTTAACAGCCAGGTGGATGTGGCACCTGGGGACAGGGGTCAGCAGTGAACGCAGTGCTGGGGGTGGTTGGACTCCATCATCTCCAGGGCCTTTTCCAGCCTCTGTGAGCTGATGATTTCTCTCTTTAGGGAGTGAGATGCTGGGGCTGTGCTCCCTCCCCCGGGCCCGGCCCGCGCTGCGTGCCCACCTCCATGCGGCGGATGTCGATGGACAGCACCGTGGTGAAGAACAACATCTGCAGGAAGAAGTCTGACACCAGCCCCACCACGGCGAAGAGGCAGAACTCCTGCGGGTGGGACACAGGGATCAGCTCCTGTTTCACCTCACAACCAGGGACACAGCAGTGACAACCTGACAAACCCCGGCACCAGCCTCCTCCGCTGGCTGGGAGGGCAGGGCTGGATGAGCCCACGTGAGAATCCAAGAATGTTTATTCTAATGCACATTCTTTGTTCCTTTTGGCCACAATCCATCAGAACCCTGGGACTCTGCTCCCAGGAACGAGGGACAGGATGAGAGCAAAAGGCCTCAGGTTGTGCCAGGGGAGATTTAGATTAGAAATTAGGGAAAATGTCTTCCCCAAAAGGGGCTGTTAGGTACTGGACCTGCCCAGGGCAGGGGTGGAGTCCCCATGGCTAGAAGGATTTGACAGCTGTATGGCTGTGGCACCTGGGGCCATGGGTCGGTGGTGGCCTTGGCAGTGCTGGGGAACAGCTGGACTTGATGGTGTCCAGGGCTTTTCCAGCCCAGGCAGCTCCCTGTCTCTGTGAGGCTCCCTGCAGTGCCTGGGGCTCTGTCCTGCCGGCCCAGAGCAGCCCTGCTCACCTGGATGGCCGGGACCAGGGTGAAGTACCCGATGAGGATGATCCCCAGCTCTGTTGCCATGTTCTTCATGATGGACCAGCTCTCGTTGCTCAGGCCTGGGGAAGGGCAAGGACAGCTCAGGGGAGCCTCTTCACTGTGCCAGACATCAACACAGCAAAAGGAGCTGCATTTCTCCTCTTTAAAGCCAGGAACCTACAGGCAACAGGCCAAAAAGGCCCCTCCAGGCTGAAATTCCCGAGTGTAAAGGCCCACTGAAGTTCTCAGTCCTGTTTCCCATCTAGGACCCAAACCACTAGCATTTTTAAAATTAAAATCAGCATCCCTCTGGAATCTCTTCTCCCTGATGTTTGGAAACAGCTTTTCAGATTGCAAATCCCATTTATCCCTGGTGTGAGCACACTCAAATCCTTCCACAGGCACAGAGCATTTTTAGAATGGAAAAGATCATTTTGTCACACATTCAGGGGGATTTTGTAGGACTCGTGTTCTGCCCTTCTGATATCCATGACCTGAGGACAGTGCTCAGTATCCACACCTCCCCAATAATATTTTTTATATTTATTTAGCTTATTTCAGCCAACCATCCCAAAAAGCAGTGCCCACAACAGCAGCATTATATTCTTGGAATTCCAAACAGAAGGCTGTACAGCCCACCTTGTTTCCTCCTTCCCAGAGCTGAATGAGCCCGTTCCCCCTCCCCAGCCCCTGGCTGTCCCCACTCTGCCCTCTGCAGTCTCCCAGAGCAGGATCCTACCCTGGGCGATGCGCAGCTTCACCTCCAGGTCCACGGGTGTGGACACAACGGACTTGGTGAGGACCAGCACGTTCTCCAGGCCGATCACCACCACCAGGTACGGGAATATCTCTCTGCAGGAAACAGAAGTGAGGAGCAGATCCATGGGGAAAAGAAGGGAAAGAGGAAAGTCTGGAGCAAACACAGCCCTGGGACATGAGGAGACACCAGCCCGTGTCCCAGTCCCTTCCCTCAGTGTCACACTGCACAAGGAAAAGGTTTGTGTTTCCTCTGCCTTGGGCAGGAATCACCATTTTTACAAAGCTGCAGGAATTCCTGGGCAAGGCCCATTGTGAGCACCAGTGAGTGAATCTTGGTGCTTCCCAGGGTGGGGACAGACCCCTCTGCTCTCAGCACCGGGTACAACGACAGAGACGGGACTGGAACAGCCTGTGAGGGACTGGGGATGGGGAATCACTCACCAGGGAGGGGCAGGGAGTGTGTCCCACCTCCTTCAAGGATCATCCCACTCCACCCCCTGCCATGGGCAGGGACACCTTCCACTGTCCCAAGCCCTGTCCAGCCTGGCCTTGGACACTTCAGGGATCCAGGGGCAGCCACAGCTGCTCTGGGAATTCCACTCCAGTCCCTCACCACCCTCACAGCAAAGGATTTCTTCTGTCTATCTCACCTAAATTTCCCCTCTTTCAGTTTGAACCACTGCTCCTTGTCCTACCACTGTAGCTCCTGATGAAGAATCCCTCTCCAGCTTCCCTGTAGGCTCCCTCAGACACTGGAAGGGGGAATGTCAGTGAATGTCCACAGTGAGTGAGAAACCACCAACACAGACAAGCCTCTCGTGGGCAGCTTCTTGTTCATGCCCAAGACTCCAGAGTTCAGCAAGAACAACTCGGGCCTGCCTTTAATGAAAGCATTTCCAGCCCATAACCTGTGTGAGTCCTCCAGGCAGCAGCAGCAGCAGAGGACAGAGATGGGAGCTGAGCTCCTCGGGGATGGGAATCTCTCAACAGAGAGAATGGAGGAGGAGGCTGTGGGAGAGCCTGCTCAGCTCCAGGAATAACACACTATCCCAGCAATTCCTCTGCTCCAGGCACACACAGCCACCTGCTCAGCAGCCAGGAATCTCCAGGAGGCCTGGCCAGCAGAGGAACACATGTCCTGCATCCCTGCATTGCACCTGAGGGTGATCCTGGCCAGCAGCGTGTCCAGCAGCACAGGAGCCGGTCCCCAGCCCCCCAGAGGCTCCCCAGGGGCTCCCCAGGATCCCCAGGCTCCCCAGGATCCCCGTGCCCCACACGTACCCGCCGTTGAGCGTGGGGGTGAGGCCGAACAGGGTGCAGAGCCCCACGGACATGAGCAGGGAGCTGAGCACCGTCACCACCGCCGCCAGCGCCAGGCCCCACTTGGACTTCACCATGTCGATCTTGCCTGGAAAACAGCGCCCAGCCCACGTCAGCAGGGACAGCAAACACAGCTGACACCAGAGGGACAGGATCCTCATCCTGAGCAGCACCAGCAGGTCAGCAAACATCCCCCAGGCCAGGAGAGCAGGTACCACGGTGCTCGTGTCTGCAGGGCAGCTCCCAGAGCCTCCCAGCACGAGCTGGGACAGGGACAATGCTGAACCACAGCTCCCAGCACAAGGTGGGACAGGGACAATGCTGAACCACAGCTCCCAGCACAAGGTGGGACAGGGGATGATGCTGAACCACAGCTCCCAGCACAAGCTGGGACAGGGACAATGCTGAAGCACAGCTCCCAGCACAAGGTGGGACAGGGACCATGCTGAACCACAGCTCACAGCTCCCAGCACAAGGTGGGACAGGGACAATGCTGAACCACAGCTCCCAGCACGAGCTGGGACAGGGACAATGCTGAACCACAGCTCCCAGCACAAGGTGGGACAGGGACAATGCTGAACCACAGCTCCCAGCACGAGCTGGGACAGGGACAATGCTGAACCACAGCTCCCAGCAGTCCCAGCACTGCACCAAGGTGGGAAAAACCAAACTGAAATGTGACCAGAGAGGTTTAAACCCACCAGCTCAGAACATGATCTGTCTGATAATGGATGAAACAAACCGGGAACAGAGGTATTCCTGTGGCATCTAAGGGTGTTTAAGACAGAAAACACCTTGGAAGGTATCAAAGGATCATGGAATAGTTTGTGTTTAAAGATCATCGCATTCCACCCCCTGCCATGGAAAGGGACACCTTCCACTATCCCTTGGGCACTTCCAGGGATGGGGAGACACCTCCAGCTGGGGAGGTGTTTCACAAGGACTGAAACACGCTGGCTAAGAGGGGCAAATCAGCAGGAATCAGGTAAACAGGTAGGAATTGTCTCGGTGACAGTTCAGGGTAGAATTCCAGCACCACCTCTCCTGCTGGAACAGGAGCCTGCACCCCTGAGCCCCCAGGCAGCACCCCCAGACCCACGTGTGGAGAAGTAGATGTAGGCGAAGAGGATGATGTAGGTGGTGACGAGCGGGATGAGCTCGGCGATGCCGATCTCCTCCTTGAAGTGCACGTGGACCACGTTCTCCTCCCGCAGGCTGCAGTTGGGGCTGGGGTGCAGCAGCTTCAGGCGGGAGCGGAGGCTGCTCAGGAACCTGGGGAAGAGCAGCACATCACTGAGCTGTCCCAAAGAGCTCCAAAGGAACCTCCAGGGACCATGGTTCTCTCCAAGCCTTGCTCCCAAAGCTGCTCCTTGCTGGCCCCAACCACCCAGACCTTGATTTCTACAAAGGTTTGCTGGGCAGACTGGCCAAAGCTTTATTTAAAGTCTGGGCCTGTGGAACAGAACCTGCCATGGCCTCAAACAGCCCCAGGATTTTCCCAGAATTACAGGATTCTGTGTAAAATGGCTGAGGGAAGGTGCCACACAACGGCCCTCAAGGCTCATCTGGAAGAGCAAGTTTCAACTCCTGTGCTGCCAGTTCCATCCCAGACATCCCTTGGGGAGTTCTGTGCAGCTCTGAGTCCTCAGGTCCACACCAGTCTGGCCAGCACTGCCAAGGTGTTTTGTCCAGCTGAACCAGTGTCTACTGGAAAGCAAACCAGTGTGTGTAGAAGGAACTGTGCCAAACCAGAGCCCCCTGGGTGCCACAGGAACAGCCCCTGGCAGCTCTGGCTGCTGCAGACACGGCTGTGAACAGGAGCTGAGAACTCAGACTGTTTTATTTCCATAACTCACAGCACCTTCAGAGAGGGCAGGTACCCTAAAGCACAAGCAAAGCCAAGATGAGGGAGCAGAAAGCAGCGCCCAGGGCAGCCTCACCTGGAGTCGTAGCGCTGCAGCCCCAGGGTGACGGTGTAGGACACCACGCGCCGCCGGTTGTACAGGTGGACACCGCTGTACCTGCCAGGCAGCCCGAACAGCAGGTCTGGGGAGACAGACACATCAGGGTACAGCACACACACACACAGTGCACACACACACACATCAGGGTACAGCACACACACACAGAGACACACACACACACATCAGGGTACAGCACACACACACACACACAGAGACACACACACACATCAGGGTACAGCACACACACACACACAGGGTGTGTCACACACACACACATCAGGGTACAGCACACACACACACAGGGTGTGTCACACACACACACACACACACAGTGCACACACACAGTGCACACACCCACACAGTGCACACACACAGTGCACACACACAGTGCACACACACACACACACACAGCACACACAGGGTGTGTCACACACACACAGACACAGTGCACACACACAGTGCACACACACCCACACAGTATACACACACAGTGCACACACAGTGCACACACACAGTGTGTCACACACACACACAGTGCACACACACAGTGCACACACACACAGTGCACACACACGCTGTGTCACACACACACCCCAGGGTACAGCCCCAGGGGAACAGCTGCTGTTATCCTGTAGGATATCCCAACAGACCCCGTGGATGGGCTCACTCCTGGCTCCAGGGGCTCCAGCACAGCCAGCTCACGCTTCCCATGCTCAAAAACAACCTTTAGAGCCAACTTCCTTGGGGTTCACACCCCTGTGCAGACCTGGAGTGCAGCACATTGTCCTCTTCCACAACTCCCAACTCCCTTTAAAAGCACAGGCTTCAGCCTGTGTTCACACCAGTGTTCCCTCTGGCACTAGGGAACCACTAACGACCCCACACGTGCTCAGAGGGCTTTCTTTATAATTAAGAGATAAAAATGCTTTCATGATCTTCACTGTCAGCTCGGGCTGTGTGCAGGGAATGAGAGCACACGGGGGAGAGGGATGAATGCTGATTTATCAGGGACAATGAGCAGCCTTTGTGTGTGACAGAGGGAAAACCAGGCTGGAGCACGTGTAGAGTGACAGGAACAAAACCCTGCTATTTTTACCTGCAGAAAGGAGCCTGGCTGAGTGATCTGCTCACTTCTCACAAATACACATATAAAATGAGAGACAACAAGGACTGGGCAGCTCTGGCTGCTGTCAATGACAAAATACTGCCCCCATTGGCACTGTCAGCAATGCAGGTGTTGGATTAGTGAGGATGGAATAACAATGAAGCTGTAGGCAGCTCTCAGCTTCCCTGGCTCCCTCACCTTTGAGCGTGGCTGACGTCTGCAGGGTCTTTGGTTCATGCTGGTGGATGGTTTTGATGATATCTGGGTCGGCATTGAAGCGCTCGCGGTCGTTCTGCCAGAAGTTGCCCGGGGACAGCAGCAGGCAGCCGTGCTCCGGGAGCAGATTCCTCAGCTTCCTGAGGCCGGGCAGCAGGTCTGTCACCTGCAGACAAAGCTCCTCCAGGCTCCTCACCCCCGAGCTGCAAGGCAAGCACAGGGCTGTGGGATGGAACCCAGCTGAAGGTGAAGCCTGTGGAGGAGCGTCCCTCCTGCGTCAGGCGTGCTGCTCGTCCTCCTCCCAGCTGGGAACAGGAACCGGCTCTCCCTGGCACTGTGAGCAGGCTCCAGAACCCCACCAGCATTCCTGACCCCCAGCTCTGGCTCCTCACCCGACAGAGGAACCCTCTGCAGTTCTTGCACACCTCAAACCCCTCTCACACACACATGGATGGTTTACAGGAATCCAGGTCAGCCTTCCTGACGTGGATCCTTTGGGGTGCACTCCAGAATGCACCCAGCATCACTGCCTGCACCTGGGCTGGTGTTTTCCCACTTCCTCTGAACTGCGTATGAACTGTTTGACACAATCCTTTAAACCTAATTCAACAGAATCTGATGGGGTTACACAGATCCTGCTGGGATTTACACAGATCCTGCTGGGATTTACACAGATCCTGATGGGTTACACAGATCCTGCTGGGATTTACACAGATCCTGATGGGTTACACAGGTCCTGATGGGGTTTACACAGGTCCTGATGGGTTACACAGATCCTGATGGGTTACACAGATCCTGATGGGTTACACAGATCCTGATGGGATTTACACAGATCCTGATGGGTTACACAGATCCTGATGGGTTACACAGATCCTGATGGGATTTACACAGGTCCTGATGGGTTACACAGGTCCTGATGGGGTTACACAGATCCTGATGGGTTTACACAGGTCCTGATGGGTTTACACAGGTCCTGATGGGGTTTACACAGGTCCTGATGGGGTTACACAGGTCCTGCCAGGTTTACACAGGTCCTGATGGGGTTACACAGGTCCTGCCAGGTTTACACAGATCCTGATGGGTTACACAGATCCTGATGGGTTACACAGATCCTGATGGGGTTACACAGGTCCTGATGAGTTACACAGGTCCTGATGGGGTTACACAGATCCTGATGGGGTTACACAGATCCTGATGGGTTTACACAGGTCCTGATGGGTTGCAAAGGTCCTGATGGGGTTACACAGGTCCTGATGGGGTTTACACAGATCCTAATGGGTTTACACAGGTCCTGACAGGGTTACACAGATCCTGATGGGGTTACACAGATCCTGATGGGTTACACAGGTCCTGATGGGTTACACAGGTCCTGATGGGGTTACACAGATCCTGATGGGTTACACAGGTCCTGATGGGGTTACACAGATCCTGATGGGGTTACACAGGTCCTGATGGGGTTACACAGGTCCTGATGGGTTACACAGATCCTGATGGGGTTACACAGGTCCTGATGGGTTACACAGATCCTGATGGGTTTACACAGGTCCTGATGGGGTTACACAGGTCCTGCTAGGTTTACACAGGTCCTGCTGGGGTTACACAGGTCCTGATGGGTTACACAGGTCCTGATGGGTTTACACACTCCCAGGTTTACACAGGTCCTGATGGGTTTACACAGATCCTGCCAGGTTTACACGGACCCTGATGGGGTTTACACAGGTCCTGATGGGTTACACAGATCCTGATGGGTTACACAGATCCTGACAGGTTTACACAGGTCCTGATGGGTTTACACAGGTCCTGATTGGGTTACACAGATCCTGACAGGTTTACACAGATCCTGATGGATTTACACAGGTCCTGATGGGTTTACACAGGTCCTGATGGGGTTACACAGGTCCTGATGGGGTTACACAGGTCCTGCCAGGTTTACACAGGTCCTGATGGGGTTACACAGGTCCTGCCAGGTTTACACAGGTCCTGATGGGGTTACACAGGTCCTGCTGGGGAGGGTCAGTGGTGGTGCTGTTGTTTTGTGTCCCAGCTGTTGGGACTGACACGTGAGGGGACATCTCACCCCAGCTGAGCTGCTGTGCTGCTGGGCACCTGCTCAGGTGGTCTGACAGGACAGGTGGCTCACAGGGAGTTATTGTTACTGCTGGGGAGTTCCTCTGGCATCTCCCAGCTGCCCAAAACCAGCTCCCTGCTGAAGTCAGCTCTGGAGAACAGCTGCACTCCGACTGACACACACCTCACCAAGCTTTCCCAACACAGAAAACTCAACATTTCCCTGGACAGCCTTCACGGTTTTTAATTGACACTGGAGCTCAGACCTCTTTAATTACTCCCAAGGATGCTAAAAAGCTACACTTAGGTTTTAAAAATAGAGACGTTCATTTAACTGGCTTTAGTGGAAAGGGTTTTCTGTTACACAGCTGAAGTCTGTTTATGGTTACCTGGGGAAAGGTGAATGGCTTCACACACATTTGTGATGGCAGATCATGAAGAAAACATTTTAGGATGTGACATTCTTAGAGGGAGACTCTGGCACTTACCAACCAGGGATGTTTGGGCCTTTGGACCCAACAAAAACCCCAGAGTAATCTTTCTGGGAAGGGGAGGAAATGAAGTCTCCCAAAAGTGGCTCCAGTTTTACCTGTTTCTGACTAGCATTAAACAGCACCCTGTGCCTCCTGCAGCCAAAGAAGGGAGAAATGAACTAATTAAAGACTCAGAACAAAGAGGCATTGTATCGAGGATGCATTCACAATTCCCCCGTTTGACAGGTGATAAATGAAGGCAGGAGCTGGCATTTAGCAATTGATTATCAAAGGCTTAATACTGACACAGAACCACTCCCTGCAGCAGGCCCAAATATTGCAAACCTCTGCAAACCCCTCTGCTGCTCTGCAGGCAGCTTGGCACAGGAAAGATGGATTTTATGGTCCCAGTTCAGGAAGAAGATAAACCCAGAGCTGCATTCATGTGGGAAGGAACACAGTCCACCCTCAGCTGCCTGCCTCAGGGATTTCTGCACTCACCCACAAGGCTGCAGCTGAACCCCAGCAAATAAATCCTCAGGAAGGAGGAGATTTATCCTTACAGCGATGGTGGCTTGGAGGAAAGGGCAGGAAAAACAACAGCACAGGATACAGAAAACAGATGAAATTGGAGGGGATAGAAGTGCCCTCAG